GCCTGGGAGTGAGATAGTGAGTTCACCTCAGTACAGGCTGGGAGGCTCTACATGTCAGGGCTTCTGGAGCCCTCCCAGCCTTCCAGAAACTTCTGACAATTTCTGGAAAAGGGGCAGAGGAGAGGAGGAGGCCCAGATTTGTATGTTTAGGAGGCAGGAGGCTGGGCAGGGTGACCAAGGTCAACACTTAAATATGACAGAGCCGGTGCAGCAGGGGAGCTGGGTGGAAGATGGACTGAAGGAAGGTGCTGGAGAGTGGAACCTGGGAGGGGGCCCCAGGGAGGGGAGCGTACCTACAAGCTGGTTGCTGGAAAGAAGGATCTACATTGTGCCAAGTCACCTAGGGAGGACAATCCTGTCAGCAGGGAAGGAGCCAGCCAGTATAAGGCCTGAAAGCAACTGCGACCCACCAAGCTAACCGGACAGGACAGTGTAAGTACTTCTACACGCCATGGGCCAGATAAAAGGAAGAGGGCGTTCAGTTGCAAGACCCAACTAGTTCTCATCCAGGACTACTTAATTGGCAGATCTTGGAATCCCTTGCCCAGGGATACCCTCAGTGTAGCTGGGTGAAAGAGGAAGGATTCATCTGGGGTCTGAGGAGGTACATCAAGGGGACTTCAGTGCTCCTTAAAGAGACAGTGCTATTTTTGCTGATCCACATTTTTGTACCGTGTACAGTTTGCTACGATGTTTGTCCTCAAGTTTTCAGTTCCTTGGGCATCATATATACTCCTAGACCCCATCCAAGTTGTTAACCCCTCAATAAAAACAACAAAAGAAAAAACAGCTGAAGGACTGTTTTACTGATTCTTTTTACTGTGTGAAGATGTGAAAAATGCACAATGCCTGGCCACACAGAGCTTGGGGGTACCCAATCAAACATAGTGGCTTCTGTGGGGATAGCACTACATTAGTTTTGGTAAAGTCTATAAAGGTAAGAGTGAAGTCCAGGAAATCAGCCAGTCTGTAAAATGCGTTGGCATACTATAAATGCATGCCACCTCGTGGACTTTTTACATGTTTACGGGGCTCCGGGAATGCAACTATCGCAATGCTCCCGGTACACTGAGAAGGGAGATGCTGCCTTTTCATCCACTGCATCTTTGCCCACCCTCCTTTCTGCTGCTCATTCATTGTATTTTGTGAATGAGTTTACATAAAATGAAGCACTCTATGACTGGACAGGTGGAGAGGAGGGGCAGGCAGAGTGGCTGCATTGAGAGGTATACTTCCAGTTCTCCATTAAAATGTAAACTGTAAATTTATGAAATAAGTCCATGAGGTTGCATGCATCTCATTGGGCCTAACCCCTTGTAATTCAGAACATTTTTTAAAGTGACTGAATTCTTGGAATTCAGCTTTAAAGTATATGTAAACTCCAGCAATGAATTTCTCCAATTTGCTGCTATTTGTCCTGAAAGTGCTTTGTTTTCTCTTTATCTAAATTGAAACTTTCAGGAGTTTAGATCTCCAGGGTCCCTTCAACATTCACTAGTTGCCTTCTCTCCTTCATGTATTACAAAGTATAGTAGTGACATGGAAATCAGCAGGAGACTTTGGGAACAGCTTTGGGGTACCCAGGAGATTGATACTCCTGAAGTGTCAGTTTCTATACAGACTTCAGGGAGGAGATTTATACTGAATGGTGTGTCATTTTAGTGGTGCAGACAGGGGAATGGTAAATGTTGTCTTTTACTGGTATGTTTATTTTTGCATTTTTTATTTTATCACAGGGACCGTTAAGATATTCAATTATTACAGTCATCATGGCCACAAATATTGGCACCCCTGCATTTCTATCAGATAATGCACCACTTCAATCAGAAAATTGTTACAATTACAAATGTTTAGGCATTCTCATATTTATTCTTTGGTTTGTATTGGTATGACACAAAAAAGTGGAGAAACAAAAAGCCAAATATGACACATTCCACGCAAAACCCCAAAAATGGGCTGGACAAAATTTGACGCCTTCTCAAAATTGTAAGAAATAATTGCATTCCAGGTTCATGATGCTCCTGTAATTTGTAATTGAACTCACCTGTATCAATTAACAGATCTTAATGTTCCTGTGTTCACTGTGTTCAACATTGTCAAGAGGTTTACAGCCCATGGCACTGTAGCTAATCGCCGTGGATGTGATGAAAAAGAAAAATGTGATCAAACCTTGCAATGAAGGATTGTTCGAATGGTGGATAAAGAACCTTGATCAACTGGAAAGTGGTGCATTATCTGACAGAAATACAGGGGTGCCAATATTTTGGCCATGACTGTATGTTGTCTGCTAATTTCATGCATGTTAAATGAACTGTTAACATGGCAAACATAATTATTACCACTTAAGGAGATCACAGAACTTCCCCTGACAATGTTTTCATCTTCCTTTCTTTCCAAAAGGCTGGCACCATTTTTGTTCAGGCATGTTACATGGGCAGCATCTAATTTCTAGACATAAATGCTTCCTCAGGGGGACACAATCATATATTGTGGTGTCTTTATGTTTTTGGCTGTGTGTGTGCAAGTTGTCTCATACAGTTAAGTCGGTTAAATATTTCTATTTTACAGTCTGAGTGATTGGCTTTTTTTGTTGTGTAGAGAAAAAGGACAGGCTTTTATCGCAGAAGAGACTTGTAAAGTCTGTTTTGCACCCTGGTGCACTGAAACTGGTGCACTCAGAATCTGGTGCAGCCATGCATGGCATCCAATCGGCTTCTAACTTTGTAACTGCAGCTTGTTTAATTAGCCTTTGACAATAAAACCTGGAAGCTGTTTGGTGCAGAGCTGCACCAGATTTTGTACCATGCAGTTTTAGCAAATTAACCCCCCTTTTCTTCCTAAATTTATACTTCTTGAGGATAATCAGAGTTAATTGTATAGTCTGCCATTGCACTGCCCTCCTAACCTCAGGCTACTTGTTGATTATCACTGCTGCAAATACAAGTAGGTGTCACTGATACCTCTGGCAGTAGAGTGAGAATGTACAGTGGTTTTGGATTATGACTATTCATATCCTTCTCTGGCCATCAACTGAGAGTTTTCTTGCCAGTGGTGCATTTATGCGAGTCTCCGACCTGACATAGTACTGAATTTCAATGAATCAAAAAGTTATAATTAAAATAACAAATGCATTTGCTTTATTCGGATGAAGTTACATTATGCGATAGTAGTTTGAGCCCATAGAGAAACAAATTCAAGTTTCAACTTAGTTCGATAATTTGAATATGGATATCGAATGGATCTGAATTTTGTTCCATTCGTTTATTCAGATGCACATGACGCCAGTAGATATTGTCCAATCAGCTCATTCTGTTTCTGCTGGGGAATCTGACTAGCGTCCCAAAATATTGAACCCTTCCGATTCGAATCCATCCAATTCAATAATGTATTGAATATATAGCAATCTTCTGGAAAAATTGCTACATTTTCTGAATCCAACAACGAATATACAAAATGAATTCGTTTATTCAGATGCACATGACGCCAGTAGATATTGTCCAATCAGCTCATTCTGTTTCTGCTGGGGAATCTGACTAGCGTCCCAAAATATTGAACCCTTCCGATTTGAATCCATCCAATTCAATAATGTATTGAATATATAGCAATCTTCTGGAAAAATTGCTACATTTTCTGAATCCAACAACGAATATACAAAATGAATGCCGAAGATACGAAATTAATTCTGAAAACGAATCAGTTCAACATAATAAATATGCATGTTCTCCCTGTGCCTGCGTGGGTTTCCTCCCATACTCCAAAGACATGCTGGTAGATTCATTGGATCCTGTCTAAATTGGCCCTAATATGTGTATGAATGTAAGTTAGGGACCTTAGATTGTACACTCCATGAGGGTTAGGGACTGATGTGAATGTACAATATATATGTAAAGCTCTGCGTAAATTGACGGTGCTATATAAGTAGCTGAAATAAATAAATAAATGACAAAACAAAATTCTTCAATGAACGAATTCATACCAAATGAAATTAAAGTTCCTGATGCGCACATATCTAGCGCATGCTGGGGGAGGATATATATTTATGGGCTGACGTAGAGCATGGTCTCTACATGGTCTCTGTGTGTGGTGTTCAGCTATCCAGGTCTAGGTCTAGCCTAGGAGGGCTTTTGTGCTGCCTAGTGCAAAGCCTACATGTATGAGTAAGTTGCCTGCTACTGCAGGTCCTGGGGACAAGGAACCACGCAGAGAGGCTGGTAACTTGTTTTGGAGGATCACAGAAACTCCTTAAAGTACAACTAAAGGCAAAACCTTTTTTTTTAAGTTTTGGATAGAATGGAGAGGTATTAGAACACCTGTCAGTTTTTATTGCAGTCTGTGCTCCCATTAAGCTGATTCACCCTCTTTATTTGTCCTGTTTATCATTATCATTGAAAGTGAAAGTAAAAGAAAATTCCACATTTTGGGTTGTCCCCAGAAAAGTAATAGAGGGAAAATCTTCCAATGGGGACACTAGTTCTGGTGACCTGGGGGTTCCAAAGGAATTCCCTTAATATACAGGGATTTCCTCTCACTTCTTGTTTGGCTATGGGAGAGAAAGTGAAGAGAAATCTGCGCAATGGGACACAGACACAAAAATCTGAGAGTGGTTATATTACTGTAGCCAAAATGAAAAAAAAAAAAGTTTTGCCTATAGGTATAAAATTATATATGGAGTCTTCCATCTGATTGTGGTTATTTTGACCCACTGTCTTCTGCATGGAGAGAAGGTCGTGCAAAATAAATAAACTTGACTATGCATTATATTTTAATTTTATTATTTTTATTTACAGTATAATAATGTATTTTTGTTGTACATTACATAACCAAATAATTGTTTTCATCACAGTTTTCTGGTGCATTACTTTGCTCTGCATTTTCATCACTTTTCTTTTGATTTCAAAGTGGGTCATACTTTAGCGTGAAGCTGATTTCACCACTAGGTGCAAAGAGTGCATATCTGGCTGTCTGATAGATGATGGGTATTGTGGACGATTCACTAGCTGCTACATCTGGACACTCCGCTCATATTCATAGGTCATTGCTTGTCTTTTCTACAATAAAAAAGGGAAAGAGGGTATTAGAACACTGGCGGTGTGCCTATTTTACCCATAGTAATAATAATACTAACCATAGTAGCAAAATTAGGTCGGAATAAAAAAGAAATTTATTATACATGCAATACCTTAATTTTGTATAAACTTGTATAGTTAAGTTAAAATGTAAAAATATATTAACATTTTCAATTTATATTTTATTTATTAGACCAGTTGTGGTATAGTTTGAGAATTTAAGTTTAAAGTGATGGTGGTCAATATTGTCAAATTTAAATGTGTTAGATTTAGATATGTTACCATGGTAGAAGATATTTTTGATTGACTCTAGAGGTAAATGTATTTTGTATATGTCTATTTTCTCACGTACCTTATCCTTTACACTATATTTAATGCTCAGCATTGACTACAGCTAGGACAGTTCACCAATCAGGATCTATTAATAACATAAGGTAGATTTGTCATTAGGCCTTGGACCCTTTTAGCTGTTCATCTGTGTTACAAGAGCTACCCTGGCTTTAAGTGAGAGGGATGCTGTTTATGAGAATAAGTGCAAGCAGCAGTTAGTTTTCTTACCTGTTGTACTGAAGTAGTGATACCCAACTAGACTCTCTGTTGGTATAGATACTTATATAGAATATACTACGTAGTCACATTACCCTGATTGAACCACAGAGGCATTGCAGTGAAAAATTCATGTTTGTGCAGCCTCTATAATGTTTATTTCTTATTATTTCGCAGTATATGCATGTTCTTTGTCAATGCTAACCTGGTTTGCATTATTGCTTATAACGTTGCACCTATTAAGCAAACGTCAAGTTACAGCTACTCCCTGATCATTTGGCCAATTACCTATCCTGTTAAACATGGCATATGCAAAAAGGATCAACTGTGTCAGACAATGGTAATGGTATTGTCGCAAAAGCAACACCCGATAGTATGACTCTAGATTGAAGCAGGCAACCTACCACCCTTGCAATAATAACCATCTTCTAGCTGCAAGACTAACCCTGCATCCTTCATTGGAAGACAAGGATTGCCTCGACAAGATAATTAACCAGTTTGAATTGTGTATAGCTATAACAGTCAGGGATCGTAATCGAGAGAGAAAGCAGAGAGCAGAGTGCAGCTCATGAGCCATTTGCATTGAAGCACTGACAGGAATACTTCTCTAAGGAGCAAGGAGGGGAATCGCTGTCATGGAGAAGTCGGAGAGACACAGAGAAAAGATCTAGTAGAGACAATACTTTTGTAGCTGTGGCCCAGTCCCAGAGAAAGATTGAAGCTACTTCCAGCAACCAACAAACTGCTGAATCAGTGGTCCCATCTTGACCCGATGGATGGTATAATCAAACCACATATAATACTGCTCCAGGGTTCACACTTGCCACAATATAATTGGTTGTACATACAGCTCATGACTAAAAATCCTTGAAACAAAATAGTGAATGACCACACTACAAAAATTAGATTTCTTTATTGATGTATATCCATAAAACGAATACAGCAGGAGTAGCGATGCACTTCATGCCGATTAGAGATGAGCGAATCGAACCAGGCGAACCGGAATTCGAGTCGAATTTCAGGAAATATTCGATTCGCGTCGAATCCGAAATTTTGCCTACTTCGGGTGCGCGAATCGAACATTTCCCGATCGGCCGGCAAAAGTGTCCCTGCAGTGAGCTCCGCTATTTCTGACAGTTCTCTGACAGAAGGAACACATGTTTAGCGGTTGAAACATTGTATCTATTAGTTTCCATTTAGGATACAGATGTTTCAAACCGCTGTACATGTGAAGAAGCTGTCAGAGAACTGTCAGAAATGCAGATACACTTAGAGGAGCTCTGCACATACACTTTTTGCCGGCTTGGAATTAATCTTATTTTCATCCTACTTCTTCTTCTTCTTCTTCATCCTCATCCTCATCCTCAGAAGAAGAAGAAGAGGATGAGGATGAAGAAAAGAAGAAGAAGAAGTAGGATGAAAATAAGAATAATTCCAAGCCCGGCAAAAAGTGTATGTGCAGAGTTCCTCTATTCTGCAGATACACTTAGAGGAGCTCTGCACATACACTTAGAGGAGCTCTGCACATACACTTTTGCCGGCTGGAATTAATCTTATTTTCATCCTACTTCTTCTTCCTACTTCTTTTCTTCTTCATCCTCATCCTCATCCCTCAAGAAGAAGAAGAGGATGAGGATGAAGAAGAAGAAGAAGAAGAAGTAGGATGAAAATAAGAATAATTCCAAGCCGGCAAAAAGTGTATGTGCAGAGCTCCTCTAAGTGTATCTGCAGAGTATGGAGGGAATGTCCCATAACTGTCAGAAATAGACTATTTCTGACAGTTCTGGGACATTCACTCCATACAGCGGTTTCAACCGCTGTATGGAGGGAATGTCATAGAACTGTCAGAAATAGACTATTTATGACAGTTCTGGGACATTCACTCCATACAGCGGTTGAAACATTGTATCTATTTTTTTCCATAAATGACATTCTGCAAATACACTTAGAGGAGCGCTGCAGATACAATTTTGCCGGCTTGGAATTAATCTTATTTTCATCCTACTTCTTCTTCATCCTCATCCTCATAAGAGAAGAAGAAGAAGAAGTAGGATGAAAATAAGAATAATTCCAAGCCGGCAAAAAGTGTATCTGCAGCGCTCCTCTAAGTGTATCTGCAGAATGTCATTTATGGAAAAGAATAGAGACAATGTTTCAACCGCTGTATGGAGTGAATGTCCCAGAACTGTCAGAAATAGACTATTTATGACAGTTCTGGGACATTCACTCCATACAGCGGTTTCAACCGCTGTATGGAGGGAATGTCATAGAACTGTCAGAAATAGACTATTAATGACAGTTCTGGGACTGTCCTTCCATACAGCGGTTGAAACATTGTATCTATTTGTTTCCATAAATGACATTCTGCAGATACACTTAGAGGAGCGCTGCAGATACACTTTTTGCCTACTTCTTCTTCTTCTTCTTCATCCTCATCCTCTTCTTCTTCTTATAAGGATGAGGATGAAAGAAGAAGAAGAAGAAGTAGGATGAAAATAAGATTAATTCCAAGCCGGCAAAATGTGTATCTGCAGCGCTCCTCTAAGTGTATTTGCAGAATGTAATTTATGGAAAAAAATAGATACAATGTTTCAACCGCTGTATGGAGTTAATGTCCCATAACTGTCAGAAATAGACTATTTCTGACAGTTCTGGGACATTCACTCCATACAGCGGTTGAAACCGCTGTATGGAGGAATGTCATAGAACTGTCAGAAAATAGACTATTTCTAAACAGTTCTGTGACATTCCTTCCATACAGCGGTTGAAACATTGTATCTATTTGTTTCCATAAATGGATCCATTTATGGAAACAAATAGATACAATGTTTCAACCGCTGTATGGAAGGAATGTCCCATAACTGTCAGAAAAAGAGACTATTTCTGACAGTTCTGGGACATTCACTCCATACAGCGGTTTTCAACCGCTGTATGGAGGGAATGTCATAGAACTGTCAGAAATAGACTATTTATGACAGTTCTGGGACATTCACTCCATACAGCGGTTGAAACATTGTATCTATTTTTTTCCTTAAATGACATTCTGCAAATACACTTAGAGGAGCGCTGCAGATACACTTTTTGCCGGCTTGGAATTAATCTTATTTTCATCCTACTTCTTCTTCTTCATCCTCATCCTCATAAGAAGAAGAAGAAGTAGGATGAAAATAAGAATAATTCCAAGCCGGCAAAAAGTGTATCTGCAGCGCTCCTCTAAGTGTATATGCAGAATGTCATTTATGGAAAAAAATAGATACAATGTTTCAACCGCTGTATGGAGTGAATGTCCCAGAACTGTCAGAAATAGACTATTTATGACAGTTCTGGGACTGTCCTTCCATACAGCGGTTGAAACATTGTATCTATTTGTTTCCATAAATGGATCCATTTATGGAAACAAATAGATACAATGTTTCAACCGCTGTATGGAAGGAATGTCCCAGAACTGTTAGAAATAGTCTATTTCTGACAGTTCTATGACATTCCCTCCATACAGCGGTTGAAACCGCTGTATGGAGTGAATGTCCCAGAACTGTCAGAAATAGTCTATTTCTGACAGTTATGGGACATTCACTCCATACAGCGGTTGAAACATTGTATCTATTTTTTTTTCCATAAATGACATTCTGCAGATACACTTAGAGGAGCGCTGCAGATACACTTTTTGCCTACTTCTTCTTCTTCTTCATCCTCATCCTCTTCTTCTTCTTCTTATAAGGATGAGGATGAAGAAGAAGAAGAAGAAGAAGAAGTAGGATGAAAATAAGATTAATTCCAAGCCGGCAAAATGTGTATCTGCAGCGCTCCTCTAAGTGTATTTGCAGAATGTCATTTATGGAAAAAAATAGATACAATGTTTCAACGCGCTGTATGGAGTGAATGTCCCATAACTGTCAGAAATAGACTATTTCTGACAGTTCTGGGACATTCACTCCATACAGCGGTTTCAAACCGCTGTATGGAGGGAATGTCATAGAACTGTCAGAAATAGACTATTTTTCTAACAGTTCTGGGACATTCCTTCCATACAGCGGTTGAAACATTGTATCTATTTGTTTCCATAAATGCATTTATGGAAACAAATAGATACAATGTTTCAACCGCTGTATGGAAGGAATGTCCCAGAACTGTCATAAATAGTCTATTTCTGACAGTTCTGGGACATTCACTCCATACAGCGGTTTCAACCGCTGTATGGAGGGAATGTCATAGAACTGTCAGAAATAGACTATTTCTAACAGTTCTGGGACATTCCTTCCATACAGCGGTTGAAACATTGTATCTATTTGTTTCCATAAATGGATCCATTTATGGAAACAAATAGATACAATGTTTCAACCGCTGTATGGAAGGAATGTCCCAGAACTGTTAGAAATAGTCTATTTCTGACAGTTCTATGACATTCCCTCCATACAGCGGTTTCAACCGCTGTATGGAGTGAATGTCCCAGAACTGTCAGAAATAGTCTATTTCTGACAGTTATGGGACATTCACTCCATACAGCGGTTGAAAAACCGCTGTATGGAGGGAATAGAACTGTCAGAAATAGACTATTTATGACAGTTCTGGGACATTCCTTCCATACAGCGGTTGAAACATTGTATCTATTTGTTTCCATAAATGAATCCATTTATGGAAACAAATAGATACAATGTTTCAACCGCTGTATGGAAGGAATGTCCCAGAACTGTTAGAAATAGTCTCTATTTCTGACAGTTCTATGACATTCCCTCCATACAGCGGTTGAAATGTCCCAGAACTGTCAGAAATAGTCTATTTCTGACAGTTCTGGGACATTCCCTCCATACAGCGGTTGAAACCGCTGTATGGAGTGAATGTCCCAGAACTGTCAGAAATAGACAGAAACTGTCACAGAACTGTCCTTCTTCTCATCCTTCTCCTTCTTCTCATCCTTCTCCTTCTTCTCATCCTTCTCCTTCTTCTCATCCTTCTTCTCATCCTTCTTCTCATCCTTCTCCTTCTTCTCATCCTTCTCCTTCTCCTTCTTCTCATCCTTCTCCTTCTTCTCATCCTTCTCCTTCTCCTTCTTCTCATCCTTCTCCTTCTCCATCTTCTCATCCTTCTCCTTTTCCTTCTTCTCATCCTTCTCCTTCTGCTTCTCCTTCTCTTCTTTCTCATCCTTCTCCTTCTTCTCATCCTTCTCCTTCTTCTCATCCTTCTCCTTCTTCTCATCCTTCTCCTTTCTCCTTCTTCTCATCCTTCTCCTCTTCTTCTCATCCTTCTCCTTCTCCTCTCCTTCTCCTTCTTCTCCTTCTTCCTTCTCCTTCTTCTCTTCCTTCTCCTTCTTCTCCTCCTTCTCCTTCTCCATCTTCTCATCCTTCTCCTTCTCCTTCTTCTCATCCTTCTCCTTCTGCTTCTCCTTCTCCTTCTCCTTCTTCTCATCCTTCTCCTTCTTCTCATCCTTCTCCTTCTTCTCATCCTTCTCCTTCTTCTCATCCTTCTCCTTCTCCTTCTTCTCATCTTCTTCTCTCCTTCTCCTTCCTTCTCCTTCTCCTTCTTCTCATCCTTCATCCTTCTCCTTCTCCTTCTTCTCATCCTTCTCCTTCTCCTCATCCTTCTCCTTCTTCTCATCCTTCTCCTTCTTCTCATCCTTCTCCTTCTCCATCTTCTCATCCTTCTCCTTCTTCTCATCCTTCTCCTTCTTCTCATCCTTCTCCTTCTCCTCATCCTTCTCTTTCTCCTTCTTCTCATCCTTCTCCTTCTCCTTCTTCTCATCCTTCTCCTTCTTCTCATCCTTCTCCTTCTTCTCATCCTTCTCCTTCTCCTTCTTCTCATCCTTCTCCTTCTTCTCATCCTTCTCCTTCTCCTCATCCTTCTCCTTCTTCTCATCCTTCTCCTTCTCCTTCTTCTCATCCTTCTCCTTCTCCTTCTTCTCATCCTTCTCCTTCTCCATCTTCTCATCCTTCTCCTTCTTCTCATCCTTCTCCTTCTCCTTCTCCTTCTTCTCATCCTTCTCCTTCTCCTTCTTCTCATCCTTCTCCTTCTCCTTCCTGATCTCCAAGGGCATTTAAATTAAATGTACAGTGTTCTGCACTAATTTAAAGGCTGTCTGAAGCCTAGAAACCCTTTTTATAAGCCATCTTCGTAGCGAAGAAATTCGCATCGAATCGAATTTCATACTGGAATTCGCCGAATCAGCCGAATCGAATTTTTCAATACTTCGCTCATCTCTAATGCCGATATGTGAAGAATGATTCTAGTAACCATTATTTTGTTTCAAGGACTGATGAATGGTATACTGTGCTGCAAAATAATGTTCCTTCATGACTCATCACTGAACTGGCAGATCATACTGTCAAGAGCCTGGGCCCTCTCTGAGGTGGTGAGAATCTACATGGAATTAGGACACTGTTAAGTCCTCAAAACATTCACCTGGTCCAAGAGAAAAATCATGTCTGTGAGTTTGTTCCAGTTGGTTAAACAAGTCTTCCAACACTGTGTGGTTTGTTCAGTGTTGAAGGGTGCTGCAGCCCGAATTTCTAACTTGGGACACTGTCCTACTGGAGGTACTGGCCATAGACTTTCTTATACTTGAAATGTCAGAAAACAGATACTATCACATTCTAGGCATGGTGGACCACCAGTGACAATACTGTCCTCTGACCACACCACCAACACTGCCGTCCTGATGGTGTTGGAAGCACTTCTGCATTCCTTATGGCTGTTTGCAGAAGACACATTTAGAACAGGGATTTTAAAGAAAGCTCTTCAGCCTTATTCTACCCCATGTTTCCCACAGGGCAATGGGGTATGTGTGAAGTTCAGTTACATCTTGATGCAACTGTCTGACGTCCAACTGTTTGTTTAATACCAGTCATGGGTTGAGCAAAGAGTGTTGGAAGCATCAGATCCTACCCTTCAACCTGAGGTCAGAGTGCACTCCAGCAAGGAAAATTGCAAACCGTGTGGGAAGAAGTCCCTGAAGTTGTCCTACAACAAATCATTCCATTACATTACCGCTGTGTCTGGTCAATCACATGGTGTTTTACCATGTGATTGCTGTGTCCGATCACAGCAATCCCATAGTAAACACTAGAAAGTGAAAGTAAAGTTTGGTTCTCTCTGTGAGAGCATAGAAAACCAATGCAGCATTCTGTAAGTTTACAGAAGCCTGTCAGGCTGCTTGTACACTCACAAACTGCAGTGCCAGCCACTCCAGTGTCAATGATCATTACCCCTGTATCTCTGATCACTGCCCCTTGTAGTCCTAATAAATAATGCAGCCAGCACCTGTCCCAGCATTCACAATAACACTGCCATAAACCATACCAATGTCCTGATCACCACTATGCCATCGTCCTGATCACCGCCGTACCCCATACCAACACCCTATTCATCGCCATACCAGCACTCTGATCACCTCCATACGCTATACCAGCACCCTGATCACCGACATACTTCATACCAGCATTCTGATTAACAGCATCCTGATCACCATCATACTCCATACCAGCATTCTGATCACCGCCATACCCCATATCAGCACCCTGATCACCGCCATACACTATATCAGAGCCCTGATCGCCGCCATACCAGCAGCATGATCAACACCATACCAGCTTTCTGATCACCACCGTACCCCATACCAGTGTCCTAATCACCGCCATACCCCATACCAGCATCCTGGTCACCCCATATGCCATGCCAGTGTCCTGATCACCACCATACCTCATGCTAATGTCCTGATTACCTCCATACCCCATACCACTGATCACTGCCATATGTCATACCAGTGTCTAGCGTTTTAGGGTCTCAACTGATCAATGTTCCAAAAAAATATATATACCATAGTTTGTAGACTCTATAGCTTTCACACAGACTAAATATACACTATTATGGGTTTTTTTACCAAGAAAATGTAGCAGAATACATTTTGACCTAAATTAATGAGGAAAAAGTATTTATTTGCAACATTTTAGACCAAAAACTAAGCAAAAATATTTTTTTTCAAACTTTCCAGTATTTTTTCATTTATATAGCAAAAAACCCAGTGGTAATCAAATACTATCAAAAGAAAGCTCTATCTGACTAAAAACAATTATAAAAATTTCATATGGGTACAGTGTTGCATGACTGAGTAATTGTCACTCAAAGTGTGATAGTGCTGAAAGCTGAAAATTGGCCTGGACTGGAAAGGAGTGAAAGTGTTCAGACTCGAAGTGGTTAAAGTGGACCTACATGGTTAGAGAAACCTAAGCAACCCCCCCCCCAAAACTAATGGACTGATGGTAATTACTCAAACTGATCAGCAGTTCTTAGCTTCCTCTAGCGGCTGACCCTGAAACACAGATGCATCGAGAATCATATGGGGTCTCATGAGTACTGTCAAAGGATACCTCTTAAGGTGAGAGAGCCACTCAGTGATTTTCCTTGAATATGGAGGGAGTTCAGTGCTACTGGTAGGAAAGCATTTCAATAATGGGAGTGGAAAAATAGCTCAGGTTTTTTTTAGAGGCTCTACTTTTTTAAGAAACTGCAAGTAACCGTGAAAGAAATGTCATTCTTTTACTGTATGCCAATTCCTCCTATCCTGTCAATGTTTCCTCTAAGAAAATAGAATGGAAAACAGCAGTGTTGCTATCTCTGTGTCCTGTATCCTGTGGAGCTGGAATCCCTCTGTGATATGTTTTCACAGTATATGTTACATTTAGACTACTGCTTTGTGATAGAGGTCTTCTGTTGTAAATTGAAAATACATTTTTTTGTCAAAGTAGATGGCCTTTTAAAAATATATTTGGAATGAAACCTAGCCGTCCTAGCTATAAACTTTGTATGACAAAATAGCATCATTTTAGATTGTCATGACCTTCCTGTCATTGTCTTCTTCAGGGTTTTTCAATTCTAGAGGATGAGAATTCATTTCATTAGAATGCACTGTTCTTCCAAATCGCAGTGGTAATGTGGCAAGGGAGTGAACAAAAACGGTTGCTATATTGTGATCTTCCGAACCTCTGTGGGTAAATTAGCCACTGACTGGACATTAGCCTTGCCAGACAAGTAACGCCCAAACCGTTGAGGTAGATTGGGAATGCTTTTGGCTATTATTTTGTCAAGATTGGGAATGCTTTTGGCCATTTTGTCATCAGATGCTCTTCCAAATCTCAGAGGCAGATTTGCAGCAGGTTTAAGGTTTCGTTCCTGTCGAAATTCCCTCTCAGGCTGCATGGACAGGCTGCTGAATCTGTTCATGTCATTTAGGCTGTTGGATCCCCAGTACAGATATTCATCAGAATTAACATTCCTCTCATTCTGGAAGTCTTCTTTGGACTGTAAAGATAATAAAAAAGAAACTAAATATTTAATAACATTAAGTGAATAAGATAGAGTGGTAGATTTTGTTTTATTTTAAATAATGTTTATTTGTTATTTTGCATGTACAGCTGTCCCCATGTCTAATTACAACCGTAAGACCAGAATAAACCAGATAATCATCTTTACCTTTGGTAACAGGAAAATATGTTTTATATATTTTGTGTAACACCCTGCTACAAGTGACTACAAGATGTTAAAACAAACACAAGATGGGAGTGTCCTGCAGAACAATGGCATCCACTCTCTGTGGAGCAGCCCCATGGAACATGAATGCTGAACCGCAGGATTTTGCAAAGGGACAGTGTAGTAAAAGAACTACTATTCCCAGAGGAGCTGACATGTAGGCTGGGGTGTATATGTGTGTGTGTGTATATATATACAGTGGGGATCGAAAGTTTGGGCACCCCAGCTAAAAATTTTGTATTAATGTGCATAAAGAAGCCAAGGAAAGATGGAAAAATCTCCAAAAGGCATCAAATTACAGATTAGACATTCTTATAATATGTCAACAAAAGTTAGATTTTATTTCCATCATTTACACTTTCAAAATAACAGAAAACAAAAAAAAAATGGCGTCTGCAAAAGTTTGGGCACCCTGCAGAGTTAATATCTTTGTACTGCCCCCTTTGGCAAGTATCACAGCTTGTAAACGCTTTTTGTAGCCAGCCAAGAGTCTTTCAATTCTTGTTTGAGGTATCTTTGCCCATTCTTCCTTACAAAAGTCTTCCAGTTCTTTGAGATTTCTGGGCTGTCTGTCACACACTGCTCTTTTAAGGTCTATCCATAGATTTTCAATTATGTTGAGGTCAGGAGATTGTGAAGGCCATGGCAAAACCTTCACTTTACGCCTCTTGATGTAATCCCCCATGGATTTCAAGGTGTGTTTTAGGATCATTATCCATTTGTAGAAGCCATCCTCTCTTTAACTTCAGCTTTTTCACAGATGCCATCAAGTTACCATCCAAAATTTGCTGAAATTTTATTGAATCCATTTTTCCTTCTACTTGTGAGATGTTCCCTGTGCCACTGGCTGCAACACAACCCCAAAGCATGATTGATCCAACCCCATGCTTAACAGTTGGACAGAGGTTCTTTTCATTAAATTCTGTGCCCCTTCTACTCCAAACGTACCTTTGCTCATTCCGGCCAAAAAGTTCAATTTTAACCTCATCGGTCCACAGAACTTGTTTCCAAAATGCATCAGGCTTGTCTATATGTTCATTTGCAAAGTTCAAACGATGATTTTTGTGGTGAGGACGTAAAAGAGGTTTTCTTCTGATGACTCTTCCATGAAGACCATATTTGTACAAGTATCTCTTTATAGTGGAATAGTGTACCACAACTCCAGTGTCTGCCAGATCTTTCTGGAGGGATTGTGCAGTCAAACGTGGGTTTTGAATTGTTTTTCTCACAATCCTGCGAGCTGTTCTGTCTGATATTTTTCTTGGTCTTCCAGATGTTGCTTTAACTTCCACTGTTCCTGATGACTGCCATTTCTTAATTACATTCCGAACAGAGGATATTGACATCTGAAAATGCTTTGCTATCTTCTTATAGCCTTCTCCAGCTTTGTGAGCGTCAACTATATTTTAGTTTCAGTTTTCTAGACAACTGCTTAGAAGAACCCATGGTGCTGATTGTTGGGGTAAGGTCAGATGAGTCTGGGCATTTAAAACCTTTGAGAATGAAATCACCTGGTCTTCCCAGACGATGATTGAGAACAATCCATGACACTGGCAGGTCTCAGCTTGGCAAAGGGGGCAGTGCAAGCTATAAATTCTGCAGGGTGCCCAAATTTTTGCAGACGCCATATTTTTTTATTTTCTGTTATTTTGAAAGTGTAAATGATGGAAATAAAATCTAACTTTTGTTGACATATTATAAGAATGTCTAATCTGTAATTTGATGCCTTTTGGAGATTTTTCCATCTTTCCTTGGCTTCTTTATGCACATTAATACAAATTTTTAGCTAGGGTGCCCAAACTTTCGATCCCCACTGTATGTATATATATATATATATATATATATATATATATATATATATATATATATATATATATAATAAAAAGCCTGGGAGAGAGCAGGAAGTGGGAAGGGAGAGGTCTGGAGAGAGTAGTGTTCTGACTGTGGGAGGGCTGGACCAGGCTGTGGAGAGAGAGAGAGAGAGAGAGAGAGAGAGAGAGAGAGAGAGGAGAAGCAAGGGGAGTCTGCTGTTCGCTTACCTTGCCGCATAATGGAGAGAGCTAATCTGCTAGCAGGTAACCAGACGGAACGCTGCCAGTGGGACCAGAGAGTGTGTTTAGGCCTTATTGTAAGAGAGAGAGAACACCAGTGTTCGCCAGACGCCATCCCTCAGGTGAGAGAGTCCCAAGCATTATCAAGAACAGAGAACACTGACACCTGCTCCACCTTTTGCTATTTCCCTGCACACAGTTGCAGACATTGCATACAGTGATTAGAATTTCCTTCAGCTGCTATTGTCTGACTACTTTTAGCACAGTCTTATCATCAAAACTGGTAGCAGGACAGTCAATCCACAGGCTGAACTACCTCTGTTTCACCATCATCATCTATTCATTCTACTAAGGAGACCTTTTCCTATTGTACCAATAGTCTTGCAGTTCAAAGAAGAGTTGTCCTGTGCCAACAATCACTTTTACCAGCTTGGCCGCTTGTTGCTTCAGTTTCTCTAGTGACTAGTGCCGTAAAGAAGGAACATTACATCAGTAAAATTGCTTCTTTCAGGGGGGGGGGGGGGGGTGTTATTCTTCCCTTTCTTTACTGCATTGTTCCTCAGAGAATTACAGTTCTCACTGTGCACCAACAGGGCTCCATTACGCGCACAGAAGATTCTTCATTGCCTATAAAGAACATTGGTTGTTTTGAGGTAAAGAGCTCTTTTCCTTATTTTAGGCAGTGCTATTTTTATGCTTTAATAGCTGTATAATTTATATTTATGAGGAAGTCCTTTTTAGGACTGTCCACAACATGGTCTATTCTTTTGGGATCCCCCTGTCGACTTGTCTGGGCAGTGGATGCCTTATCCCCCTCTGTAACCCCTGCAACGATGCCTGTGGTTTAAGGTATATTCAGAATATGTATAATGATGAATGATTGACAATACAACATGTTATGTTATATCTATACCCACTTTTCTCTTATGTAGTAACTACTGAAGAAGTGATATTCTCGCGAAACATGTTGAGTCACTATGGTCATTGACACCTGATTCATGTTTCCTGATACCCATACCGTGATACTGTATATTTGTACGGATCAAAAATTTTTATGTATCTACGAGATTTGTAACTGCATAGAATGTACCACCCCAATGGAGGTCTTACATTCTTAGCAGATGTTTATGTACTGTTGTGTAATTGTGTACATTCAAATAAAGAAACTATTTTAATGAATATTGTTGCAATGCCTCTAAAACTTCTGGCCTTTATCCTTTGGTCGATCTATATGTATTCCAGTTATGAGTGTACTATGGTATCAGCAGGGGTTTGGCTTTTTAGAGAGGGGTCCAGATCCACAGGGAACCTGAAAACAATTCAGCAACTCCCAAGGGGTAGTGCTACAATAATGTAAAAGTAAACATCTAACAGTGGTGTCATTGAGCATTATACATTTTCTAAAGAGAGAACACAACAGTAGCTTTTTCCTTTCACACTATCACTCTTCAGCTGAAGTTCTCTACAAAGCTGTATAGAACTGGAAGAAAGGGAAAGATGAGGAACTCAGACTAAATCATGTGTAGGCAATTTCTACTTCAGTTATTGAGCAACAGGCTTTTTTATTAGCAAAGCAGTTCTAATTAGACTGGTAAACACATTAAGCAGAATCTAGTGCTCCCTCTTTTGGCTGTAAAAGCTTTAAGATTGCCTAATCCTGTCTGTGTAGAGGAACAACATTTTTGTATCCTGCCTAGACTCCTTTCTGTGGGTGGTGAGAACTTCTGGCAAAAAAGCAGCCTCCAGTAACAATGACCAAAGCACTAAATCACTCTAAGAATGCATCCATTCACCATTGATGCAGGCCATTTATTGTTAGCTGTAAACAGCAAGCACATACGGGAAAAATGAAAACGTTCAATTTTAAGAGAGCTAATTTTCCAAGGCTGAGAGCTGCTCTCCAACACTTAGACTGGGAGGGAATATTGGCATCAACGAACACAACACAGGAATGGGAGTTCTTCCAAAAGACTGTATGTGAACACACTGCAAAATATATTCCCATGGGCAACAAGTTTAAAAGGCTAAAAATAAAACCAATGTGGCTTACGGCCAAAGTTAAACAAGCTATAGATAATTAGAAAAGAGATTTTATTAAATATAAAAATGAAGGAATGCTATCATCATTTAAACATTGCAAAGAATATAACAGAATATGCAAAAAAGAAATAAAGGCCGCAAAAAAATTGAAAACGAACAACAGATTGCAAAAGATAACAGGACCAACCCCAAAAATTCATCAAATATATTAATAGTAAAAAGGTCCGGTCCGAGCATGTAGGCCCTTTACAAAATATTCTAGAGTGGCTGACTGCGGACAAAGAGAAGGCAAATTTATTAAATACATTCTTCAACTCAGTGTATACAAAGGAGCATGGGGGGCTTTTGTCCATAATGGGCATGGGATTGACACAGCTCCACATGATCCACATTGGCTCACAATTGATATGATCCAAAAATATTTAGACAGAACAAAGGTGAATAAAGCACCTGGATTGGATGGCATACACCCACAGGTCCTTAAAGAATTGATCTCTGTCATTTCAAAGCCATTGTTTCTAATTTTTAGGGACTCTTTAGTGACTGGCATAGTACCACTGGATTGGCGTAAGGCCAATGTGATGCCAATATTTAAAAAGGGGTCAAAATCTTTACCAAGTAATTATAGACCTGTTTGTTTAACTTCTATAGTTGGGAAGATACTGGAGAGTTTAATAAAAG